GTCCGCGCTGCTGCCCAGCTCCGCGCCCGGCAGCTTCTCGCCTCCATCAGCCGGGCCCCGCGGCTCTCCCTCCTCCAGCTCCAGCTCCGGCTCCGGCCCTGTGGCGGCAACAGGCCCTGGCGCCGTGTACAGATCCTCCTCCCCCTCCGTCGGGGGCTCGGGGTTGCCACCAGCCAAGTACTGGGTCTCCCCCTCAGCGTGGGCCGCTCCGTCCCCAGGCTGCAGAGCCGCGAGCAGCCCCTTGATCTCCTCTGTGGGGTGCGACAGCGGGTCAGGCTGGTCCCCACCCCCCGCTCCCTCCATGTCCCCTCTGCCTGCGCCGGAGCAGGGCCTGGGGCCCCGGCAGCACGCTGGCACCTTCCCCTACCGATGCTGGAGCCTTGGTGGTCTCTGGTGGCTCCGGCGGGGGGCTCCGGCGGCTCAGCGGAGATAAAGGGGTCTGGGTGGCAGCTCAGGGGCACCAGCTCCTCGGACACCTCGAGTTCACGCTGAGACAGACAGACAGACGGACAGACAGACTGACGTCAGCAGCTGCCGCCTCCGCCAAGGCCGGCGTCACCCCCAGCCCATCCATCCCTGGGGCTCCCACGCAAGTACCACCCATCTCACCACGGCCCCCCGCCCTCCACCCTGCTCCCACCATGCCCCAGTCCGCACTAGAGGGGCTCGCACCCAGGCCCCCCCGCCTCCCTGGTCCATACCGACGAGTCCGGGGGGCTCCAGCGGACGTGCTCCAGCCCGAAGACGCACTGGAAGCAGCTCTCCAGCTCCTGCAAGAGGCTCTGCCCAGGCTCGTCCAGCAGGAAGCGGGCAACGCCGGGGTAGCGCAGCGTCACCGTCTGGGAGCTCACGGTGCCCAGCAGGCTCTGCAGGAACTCGACGGCCGCACGGCACGCGCTCGCCTCCCCGCTCACCTGGGGGCCGGAGGGGCCGGTCAGCCCGTGCACACGCGGCGCGAGGTGTTGCAGCAAAACACCCCCATCGCTCTCCCTCGCACAGCCCCAGGGCTCAGCACCAGCTCCAGACACCAGGTGGTTGCGACGGGAACCGACTGCCCCCCACCTGCAGCATGGTGCTACACCCAGCCCGGGCACAGCTCCACGCGCGTGGCCCTGCCCGCGGTCCGTACGAGGGGCTGAGACCCCAAGTACTCGAAGCGGCAGGGAGGCCGCAGAGGCA